TACATGCTTGGAAACCTGGTGTGTAATTCAGAGGGAATAAAGGATACTAATAATACGTTCGTGTGTATGACCGAACGTCAATGCAATACTACAACCGTGAACTACTCTGTTTTAGATAAAGTCCAAAGAAAAATAGGAATTGGCGTGGAGGTCTCATATTTCCACTTCTTGGTCACAAACCCTAATGTCCTATATGCTGCGCAACAGTGGCGTGAGCTCACGAAGTGTCGGTTCTAAAAGAATAACTTCCGCTCTTTAATTGACAAGATGATGGAGTAGGTCACGAGAAGAGCAATTGATTTGAATTTCTAACATTGCACAGCGCTGTGTGCAAAGTTCACGTGACCTCCAGGCGTGGTTTAACATCTTCCGTGAATTGCATTGAACGCAGCAGGAAGAAGAAAGTTGATGGGTCCCTTGAAGTGTGAAAAAACTTCTTCTATAAATTCCGTTGCATTCTCTTATGATTGAAGCTGCTGGCATTTCTGTATACCGAGTCTCTTGAGGGTTCGTTGACCTTTGGGTAGCAGAAACGGGTTTTTGCGTATATCTGTCGTGGGAGAAACTGCCAGCAACTTCAAGAAAACACATGGGAAACATTCGAGAAAAAAAAAACTTCTCATGTGTTATCTCATTCAGACTCCTTAACATCCGGTTTATGCAAAGAGGTCCCGACGGAGGACCGGTGGAGACCATGTGATCTCCCGCTGCTCACGGCCTTCTTTTTATAGACATTCCGCGTTGGAACCAGTTCTGCACAACCAGTTTTCTGTTGTACGAGGCGTCAGTGCGTCCATTTCTGTGACTGTTACAGCTGAATAAACATTTATTTCAACTTTCATTGGTCCTTCTGGTCATAATTTGCATCGATTACACAAACAGTTTCGAAAAAAACAATACTTTAGATATAGCTGTGTATTTGCAGTGGTTGGCAACCTCAGCCACAAATTGAGGGGAAGCGGCAGGAGATAACTTTTAAAGCATTCACTGCTGCACTTACGTATTCTATGCTTGATTAGGTGGGATATCCCATTTTTTCTGTGTAGGTACCAAAGAAAATATTTGTGATAATGTAAATGTATGTCCGTGGTATTGAACTTAGTCATTGCCAAAAAAAGTGTAAATGATTTAAATTTTTAACATTTAAAGTAAATATAGTTATTTATTCCATTGTCATTATTATTACTATTATTATTATTTCTATTATTATTAATTATAATAAGAAACCTTATTGGAAAGAATATTTGTTAAACAAATCCGGACTTCCGATCTATAACAAAAGGTATTGATGAAAACCGTATTAAGAGGTTTTTACTTGATCAACCTACATAAAATTTGGAATTCTAATATAGAATTCTTAAATATAATTGGGAAACGAACTAATAAATTAATTTTCTTCACATTTCAATTTGTCCAGTGGTTGTTTTTGTGGACGTTTGAACTGTACCTCATTAATATCTCTATCTTTTTTTCTCGTGGAGCCATGACTCCCTACATGACTTGTGGGATCATTTAAATTCTTATCTCAAACTGTTTTAATTTCTTTTCATATTTATTATTAAACTTATTATGCAATTACTCTGAGATATAAAACAAAATATTAAACGCCGCTTATCGGGAAGGACGTTAACGTAACTAGTATCGTCCGGTCAGTGTCGACCCCTTCGCAATTGCTGTGTACGAGTTACGTCATTGCTTTAACTACCACAGACATGCAGAATCTCACAACAAATGTTACGTATAACACACAGAACCACCAGAATGTGTTACAGTGATCATGTTTGTAATCATTGTTGAGATAATTATTGCCCCGATAAATGACTTAAGGGCTAATATCATATCCAGAATCGTTCGCCTCGAATTTAATCTTAAAATTATTTGTTTCTGGTATGTGAGAAGAGTCTTTCGCAGAAGAATCTCGATTGAGTATTTAGTGTATTCGGTCGTGTCAACTACCTAAGTCATTAATCTCGTGAATGTAGTACATGTGAGGAGACGGTGGCGTATCTGCCTGACGTACGTAACGCATCCAGAAAGTAAGTTGAGAAACGAAAGGCGCAGTCCATGGTTTGTTAGGGTACTGCTCCAGCATTCGCCAGGTGTAGTTCGGAGAAACCAAGGGAAACACCATGATCAGAGCAGCATGCCGTTAGAATTCTCCCTCAGACAGTGACAGAACTCGACCTAGCTAAATAGTTCATATGGGAAATCGTGCCAACGTTGGGTGCGGAACACTAGGAACTCCCGGTCAGTCACTGCAGTAGCATCAGTCGATGCCCTGCCACATCCCCGAGATGCAACATGCACTATACTAAAGGGAAAAACACCCGTAGCTATTCATGCGTTCGGGAGCATGAAATAATTAATATGTCAATGTTCGATAGCACGTTTCGATGCTTTGTACACCAAAGAAGTACAGATTCGACGGGTGTCGTGGGTATTCAATGGGTATCTCGCCGCCTGGAAAGAGGGCTGCCGGACCACGCCCACCACCGCTATTATGTTGCGGCGCGACGCAGTGTCGCCTTGGCGGCCACCCCTTCCCCCGACCTTCTTCTGTACCCTCTCTGTCTTGCCCTGTCCCGCCTCGCTCCGCCCCTCCCGTTTCGGCGGAGAGCGAAGACAAACCCATATATTCTCTCCTCCACTCCACCCCTTCTCTCCTGCGATACATATTTTATTTCGAAGGCGGCGCCGTCGCATGCAGAGCACGAATTTATGGGCGGCCGTAGTCGGAAGGACAGGCGGTCACCCTTAGCCCTTCACCCTTAACCGCTCACCCTTCGTCACCCGCCCAGGGACCCTCCAGCGCTGAGTTTCTAGCCCTTCACGCTCCACACCCCCTCCACCCTTCAACTCCCTGCCTGAGCAGCCCGTTGTGCCCACCTTGCTGTACTCTCCGCGTCCTGCCCTTCAACCTTCACCCTAACGTCCCTATGCATGTCACTGGCTTCTTTTAACTGAAAGAAATTGTAATATGTTCCTTGTGTGATTGTCATCATTAGGTAATTTGTTTCGCAGTGTATGGGGGTATTCGTTTTTTGTACGCTTTTTTAAAATAAAAAGTGCAATGGTTCTATCATTGTTTCTTGTAAGCCGCCGCGAATCTCATAAGTACGCATCGGTAGCGGAATAAGCTCCTACATGCCTGTTCAATGTAGTTGGCCTGCTCGCGCTTTCCTCGATGATACTAGTGCCCAGGTCGGGCTCCGGCCTGCATCATAATTATCTGAACCCGAATATCGTATGATCCCGTGGTCCTGGCAATTCTGCGGGTCTATAGGTTATAATTGTCCGTCGCTAGGTTTGGAAGAGGGGCTGGGAAGGAGAACCTCAGACTGTAGCTCGTTGTATCTACTGCTCCCGGAAAACCACCTGGAATCGGAGGAAATTGGAGAACGGTTCAATCAAATTTCTCGGCCCCTAATAATACCAATCCAGCAGACATACGACCCTGCCGCTTCTTAGCTGTAGAAAGTCGCCTCCATCGAGACGCAAATCGAGGACCTCGAGGGCAACGGTTCAGCTTCGGTTGCAGAGTTGCAAGTACATAAGCGAGCGGTGGGCCACACGCCTCCCTGGTGGTAGAGTAAGAACAACGCCGCAACTTCCAGGACCTCCGAGGCACTTGAAACTAAGCGGTTTGCCGCGCCGCCAACTCCGCTCACGTGGGCAGCTGGCGCCAACTGCCGCCACCTCGCCTCGCGCCGTTTGGCCTCTGGCGCCTCCTAATCTCCGAGCAGCTGGGGCTGCGGGGCGCCGCCGACGCCGTGGCCGCTTTGGCGCGCGGCGGTAAAGTGGTAACTTATGGCTAATTCGAACCGCGCGCGGCGACGACCCGCTCGCGCACACTGGGGCAGGGCGGAGGGAAGGATGGAAGGCGGAGGAAAGGGATGGGAGGGCAGAGGGAAGGGATGAAGCAGAGGAAAGCGATGGGGAAGGAAGACGGAGGAAAGGGATGGGTAGGAAGGACGGAGGAAAGGGATGGGAAGGGAAGACGGAGGAAGGGATGGGGAGGGAAGGGGAGGAAGGGATGGAAGGAAGACGGAGGAAAGGGATGGGAAGGGAAGGACGGAGGAAAGGGATGGGAAGGGAAGGACGGAGGAAAGCGAAAAAAAGTGCGAAGGGCAGGAAAGGAAAGGGCTGAGCGGGGAAAGGGTGACGCCGACCCAACTTCGTCTCTGGTGGTGCGCGGCGACACTTTGCTCGCTGCAGTTTTGCGCAAGCGCTAGTTTTCCGACGGAAGTTTGCGCCGCTCGTTAGAAGAGAACGAGCGAGCCCCCTCCGCCCTTCGCCCTCACCCTCGGCCCGCAACACGGCAACGGCGTCGCAATCTCGGCCTGGCCACGCTCCTCTCCGCCCCCGCTTCAACACTTTCGCTGTCTCATCGTGCTCCTTCCTGCACTAGCACCTTGACACCCTCCTTTCTGTGCCGCATCTCTCACCAGGTCATGACGTACAGGTAACCGATTACTGCTTTTATTCATCTCTTCCTATTTATTCTGCCGTTCTAATAATTATGAAGAGGTGAATTATAGTTTTTTCAGTTATTTGTGATTGTAGTGTTTTATCTTTACTATCTTTACTTTTTACACCGTTAGTGAAACCAACCGCCTCACGTGGGAAACTACAGCCCTAGAGAACAGGTCGAACAAATGCTTCGGTGTATTTAAATCAAATTAATTCCCTTCCTCTTTTTGTTGAACTTTCCTTCTTTCTTTCCTTCTTTCTTTCCTTCTTTCTTTCCTTCTTTCTTTCCTTCTTTCTTTCCTTCTTTCTTTCTTTCCTTCTTTCTTTCTTTCTTTCTTTCTTTCTTTCTTTCTTTCTTTCTTTCTTTCTTTCTTCTTCTTCTTCTACAATAGACATTCACAGCTTGGTTTTGTGCCTTGCACGCGACAATCTCTCGGCTGACGTGGCATTGCGCTCCCTGCGAGGGCGCCGGGAGCGCTCGGGCGTCGACTGCTATTAACGCGCGTGTGTTCTTGTGTGTGTGCGCGCAGGAGGAGCTGGTGTTCTTCAACGACGACGGCAGCTTCCAGACGGCGGTGGTGGGGCGCGACCTGCGCGCCTCCGACCTGTGCCAGCTGCTGGCGCTCAAGAACCGCGTGGCCAAGGACGTCAACTGGACGCTCGTCGAGCACTGGGTGGACTTCGGCCTAGGTGAGACGCGGTGCGCGGTGCGGTGCACGCGGGGATGCAAATGGGGCGTTCGGGTACTGATAAGGATATCTGCTGTTGTGGACGGAAAATATACTATTGTCAGGGTTGAGCAGTATTTAAATACAGTTTGTTTTTTGAAAAAATGTATTTTTATTTTTTTGGACCTCTGTTTTGGACATATATTGAAATACGTAAAATAGGTGTGTTTTAAAAATGAAATACTTAAAATACAGATGAAGATAACGAAAATATTTTCTTTTCTTTGATTCTGCCAGAGAATGCACCTTACAGAAGTTCCCTTACAGTTAAATTTGAATTCATATTTTTAAATGATAATTCTAAATCGTTAAAAGCTATACAATTCTATACAAATATAGACTATACTCAGCATACAAAAGGAAAGTAATATTAATTTTTAAAATGACATTTAATGTATTACGTATCATTTGGATTGTATAATTGTAAAGAACCTGTAACAAGTATTGTACTTCAACTTCTGGTTCAATGACCCCCATCTCGATCAGGTTTTTTCCAGTTTCCCTGATCCTCCAGCAAATGCTGAGATGGGCCCTTGTTTTGATTCTGGACATAAATATAACTTCAAATTAACTTCTCCCCATAGCACGTCACACACTTTTTTTAACTGTTTTTGACGTA